TAATGCCAATTCTGAAGTGCCAAATATTGCAGTTCTTCAAATGGCCACTTTGAGGCTGGCTCCAAATGCGAGTCAGTCACATAAAATGCCCCACTTTAGAAATAAACATTAAAGATTATGTTTTTAGAGTCATGTTTCTCAGTTCTGATGGTGGTTCATGTATAGCACTGCTTTCCTGATTATTACTGTAATTACTTTTTTTTTCACCGTGTACAGACACATGAACTCATTCCTTCAGTAGTTGTGCCCTAGTATGGACTTGCTGCTTATTTTTAAAAACAAAAAACTCTGTTTTTTCATGTTGCTTTAGTTGTGAATTCTGCATCCGTTCCCTGATTAATGCGATTGAGTGTCAATGACAAGAGCTCTCTGAAGCATCTATCCATCTAATTCCATCTATCACTCCATCTCTCTCTCCTCTCATCCCCCTCTAATCCAGCCAACATTTCTCTCTGCAGGACAGAACAATTAATGTGTCTCGTTTACTGGCTCTCTCTTACCCTTATCTTTATCTTTTTACCCCTATTCCCTTTCTTCATATTCCTCTTCAGATGATGTTGCTTTTCTCATGCATTTTGCATGCCTCATATGAGAGAAAAGTATGTATAGAATGACAATGTGTGCATGTGCATAGTTTCAAGAGGGACCCCGTGCTGTGGGTTTAATTTCTTGTTTGTACATGGTTCCAAACATCTTTGGCCGCTGCAGAGCAGGGGAGAGATATTTAGAGAGACAGAGAGGTTGAACAAGACAAAAAAAAGATTGAGAGAAAAGGAAAGAGGGGGGAGAGGGGAAAACAGGATGATAACAAAAGCAGCTCAGATTTCACAGACGCATATTTCATCAATCATGTGAATAAGTCGTGGTGATTATGCATGGCGGTGGCAGGCTGGGGGGGTGATTACCATACACCATAAAGGCTGCTTTCTTATCTCACACACACTGATTAGTTTCTGTCTGCAGATAGCCTCTCACTCTTCACTCTTTTTCACACACACACATAAACACACAGAATCTCAGACATTGCATCTATCTCACAGTCTCACTCTCACACGCATGCACGCACGCACACACTACTGCTAAAATTCCAGGTAAATAGAATTTACCTGGTGACAGTAGGCCAACCCCAAGTGTCTGATGAGAAAAGTTCAAGGAGCTTCTCATTGCTAACTGGTTTTACTTAATCAAGGCATAACCCACCTTCCAGAGAATTGTGGTAAAACCATGAGAAATGCACATTCCCCAAACAAAATGTACATCAGTGGTGGTTATGTGTTCTAAATGGCACAAATTACAAATAAGTATGTCTATATAAGAAAACATGCAACCAGTGTGACAAGAAAGCAGAGTCTAGCTGATAAACTGTTGAGGTTTGCACATTTTATTTTAAGACATCAAAGTGGGGCGTATGATGTATATATATTTTTTACCTTTTGCAGTCATGTTCTAGCAAATTAATTATTATTTGGAGGAAATTGATATTCTTATGTATTAATAAAAAGGCCATTCTTTTGTATCTTAAAATAAGGTTATTTCTAAAAAGGATAAGCATTGTTTTTACAGTTTATACCAGCATGTATGTTGTCTACTGGTGGACTGAGTGGTCGCTATGAAATTGAAACTAACGTGTCTTACTGTCTTATTCTCAGGCTGGTATGTTGTGGTCCTGTTTAGGTACTGTAGGTCATTTTCCTGGAACTGTGGCCTTTACATGATGCAGAACGAGAGTGCGAAAGCGAGGCGGATGAGGAGTTGAAGCTGTGGCAAAATTAGCTACGTATGAAAGGCCTCGCTTTGTATCCCACCAGGGAATTAGAAATTACTCCTTTCTCTTGTGCTTCCCTCTCTCTCTTGCTCCGATATATAATGTAAACTCATTTGGTAACCAGGCTGGAGCTGCGTTGCGCTGTCTGAGTGCCTGCATGTGAGAAGTGCGCCTGGGACACATTAGGGCCTCCTGACAGGGGCCTGGGTGAAATAAGTGAAATTAATGGAGCTCCTTTCATGTCGGACAAGGCCGCAGCACCCCTTTCACGCCGCGTACAGTCACAGAAAAGTCAATACTTTTTTATTACTCCTCGCTTGCCCTACATTCCCTGCTACAAGTGCTCTGCTCACTAATTGGTTTCAGTTTGCAGAGAGGTAGAGAAATGGGAAAGAAAGAGAGGGAGAGGACTCCATCCCAAAGAACACTGAAGCAAATAAATCAATCTCATATTTTTTCACCTCGCTGTCTTTTTTCATTGAGTAACATCATGGCAGAGAGAGGGAGAGACGAGAGAGAGAAATAGAGGAGAGAGGGTAAATGGTTGGTTAGAGCACGCCTGGTCCCCAGGGAGCATAATGATATCGGGGAGCCTGTTAATGGAGACGAGTGGTTAAAGTGGTCTGGGGCCCTGGCCAGGTCACCCCTGGGGGTTTTTAACCAGCAACCTCACCTCAGTTGGCTCCTTGCGCTCTGGGCTCAGAGGCACAATGGAGCATTCCACCAAAATACAATTTCAGGCAAGCGCTTTGATAGATTTGCAGAAAATGGCATTCAACTCAATTATGTGTGTACGCGCAGTCTTCGAAGGAATCAAGGCCTGTTTAACAATTGTTATCTTGTGTTATGGCACATGGTGCTGAATGAACACATCTTTTATGACTGAAGGAGCAATTCAAAATAACAAAAGTACACTTACATCTTGAGAAGGATTTCGAATTTGACTACAGTAGAAACTGTATAAATGTCTGCGTCTGCATTTCTGTGTAGGTCTTCAAGTATACCACACGTGTATAAGTGTGTGTGCATGTCTGTATTGTATGCATGTGTCCTGTCTGCCAGTATGCTATTCACTGTTGTGCTAAGCCTATGTGGCAGTGGGGTTAGCCTCTTTCAGAAACAGCACAGCCACAAATTGATGTGACACTTTGAACCTCCACCCTCCCTCCCCGCCAGCCCACCACCTCCCACCATAGACTATAAACACACACACACACACACACACACACACACCAATCAGCCCCCAGTTAAAAGGAGGTTCAACCAGTTTCGTTTTCTCTCTGCGTCCCAGCTTTCACAGCTCTAGAGTGTGGGCTAGGGTAGGTTTGGGGGGCTACAGCATGTGTGTATGTGTGTGCGCGCGAGTATGTGCATATGTGTGTGAAGGAGCTGTCACACAGGGCTGGCATCACCATCCAGTTTGCCATCTCTTCCTCAGTTTGACAAGTCCCTGCTCCCTACCCCATGGCTAACACACACACATAGACACACACAAACACACACACAGTCTCTCTGTCTCTGTCTCACTCCTCTGTCACACACATATATGTGATCACAGACTGGCATGCACTGTATGAATGCATACAATAAATATACATTTAAAAGCACACACACACATCCAGATGCACAGGCTACAAAATGCTGCATATTACACAATGAATGTGGTGGACAAAACATGGACACTGTGACAGTAACACATCACATAACATCATTGTTACCGAAAAATGTAGCTGAATTTAAACAGGAGTGTGCAAGAGTTTCTGTTTGTGTGGCACCACCGTGTGATGGTTGTGTGTGTGTGTGTGTGTGTGTGTGTTTGAGTGAGATCTTCTCGGCAGTTGTTGGCGTCAGATCGCGGAGGGTTTCTGTTTGTTACAAGGACAGGCTTGTCCCCGCCCCCAGGCGTCGGCATTACAATGATTGTCATGGCGATGGAGTGTGAGTGACAGGCGGGATCACATGTGGTAGCCGGGGAGCAGGAAGCCCGAACCGCCCCAGTCCCTGACATTAGTTTGTCCTTCATCAAAACTTTACACTCGTTTATAACTACTCACTCCCTCTGTTGCAAAATCTCTCTCATTTACTTCTTTTTTTATTACCATCTGTCTCTCTCATGTACTGATCTCTCTTCCTCTTTTTTATTTCTATTTCTCTGGCTCTTTCGCTCTCATTTACATTTCATTTAATGCTCTTACGTCTCCTTTTTTCTTTCTTTCTTTGTCTCTCTGTCATTTACATCTCAATTTATCTCTCACTGTCTTCCTCCAATGACAAGCTTAACATATGTTTTTTTGGGGGGGGAGGTTGGACATCGCACTGCTTTCTAGGTAATCTAAGTGACTGGTTAAGAGAGCTAATAGGAGAACAGGTTGTATCATAAAAGTGGTCCCATAGCCCGCCTATAGAACAGCAAAGTGTGTTTGTGTGTGTGTGTGTCTGTGTGCACAAGCATTTTTGTGTTAAGTTCATATGCCTCAGCAGTGTTTTTTTTTTTGTCAAGATGTTTGTGTTGATGCAAACTTATGCCTGTTTGTGTGTGTACACAAATACATGTGTATGTGTGTGTTTTCGTGAGAGAGAGCTAGAGCTTTTTGTGCATCGCAGCAGAAAAGGAGGTCAGGGTTTGCATGGAGACTCAGGCATTCATCATTAGCCTTCTGCCGCTGCCGGTAATGTTGCCCGTTACAACCGTGATTAAGAGCCCCGCTTAGTTCCAGCAGCCGGTGCAGACGCATAAAAACACAGGAACACACACTCACGTGTGGTACCAACAACGTCTCTTGTACTCGGTGGTTGAACAGAAAACTCTCTCTTTTACACCATCACCCAGTTCAGCATGCGTTTGTGTGTGTGTGTGGGGGGGGGGGTTGTAGTTCGGGGGCTGTGCTGTACATGGTCTCTAACTGCGAGGAGGCTTCAGGGCCCGATGAGAAACCTGTCACAGTCACTCATGAAAAGAGCAATTCACCGCTCCCCACACACACACGCGCACACACACACACACACACACACAGCAGGAAGTTGCACGCGGTCTTGGTGAGTGTATTTGTGAATAAAAATGTATTCATTCCCATTTATGAGCCTCAGTGTTCTTCAGCTAACTATGGTTTTGCCTTATGTTTGAACTATTTTAACTAAATCAAGGCAAAACATACTTAATGTCCCCCCTTTTCTGTATTTTTCTCTCTGTCCCTCCTTTTTGTGTCCTCTCTGCTTTACCTCTCCTCCCCTCCAGCTGTTCAAGACAGTGTTCACCACCTACAACGTCTTTGATACGTTTCCTCCTGTGTACTCCAAGTCAGGCACTCCAAGAATGACACACCTCCTCCTGGCCTGAGAAAATGAAGAGAAGTACAAATAAAGCAAAGATTTATTGTATTTATTATATTGTTTTTATTTCACACTCCAGCTGCATATTCGTTTGGCTCTATGGGGTTGCACTGTGCTCCTCATGTGAACAGACAGGCAGACAAGCACACTGTAAGTAAACACCAGGCACTCTATGGGTAGTAACCATGGAAAATGGCTTTTCCTCCCAATTTATCCCTGCCGCTACAACTGTTTTCTTAATAGGCTGTAAAAAAAATTAAGATTAAGATCTTCCAGAAATTATTGAAAAAGTCTATAACTAAATACACTGAACAAAATTATAAACACAACACTTTGGCCTCTATTCATCATGAGCTGAACTCAAAGATCTAAGACTTTCTCTATGTACACCTCACCTTTGGCGAGATAATCCATCCACCTCACAGGTGTGGCATATCAAGATGCTGACCAGACAGCATGGGTATTGCACAGGTGTGCCTTAGGCTGGCCACAAGAAAAAGCCACTTGAAAATGTGCAGTTTCACTGGGGGGCCGGGGGGGTCGGGAAACCAGTCAGTGTCTTGTGTGACCGCCATTTGCCTCACGCATAGAGTTGATCTTGTTGTTGATTGTGGCCTGTGGTTGATCTACTCCTCTTCAATGGCTGTGCGAAGTTGTTGGATATTGGCAGGACCTGGAACATGCTGTCATATACGCCAATCCAGAGCATCTCAAACATGCTCAATGGGTGACATGTCCGGTGAGTATGCTGGCTATGTAAGAACTGGGATGTTTTCAGCTTCCAGGAATTGTGTAAAACAATGGGGCCATGCATTATCATACTTGAACGTGAGGTGATGGTCGTGGATGAATGGCACAACAATGGGCCTCAGGATCTCGTCACGATATCTCAAAATGGCATCAATAAAATGCACCTGTGTCCATTGTCCATAACACAGGCCTGCCCATACCATAACCCCAGTGCCACCATGGGCCACTTGATCCACAACGTTGACATCAGATAATCGCTCACCCACACGACGCTGTCTGCCATCTGCCCTGTACAATGAAAACCGGGATTCATCGGTGAAGAGAACACCTTTCCAAGTGCCGGACACGATCGAATGTGAGCATCTGCCCACTAAAGTCGGTTATGATGATGAGCTACAGTCAGGTTGAGATCCCGATGAGGACAACGAGCATGCAGATGAGCTTCCCTGAGACGGTTCCTGACAGTTTGTGCAGAAATTCTTTGGTTATGTAAACCAACTGATGCAGCAGCTGTCTGGGTGGCTGATGTCAGACGATCTTGGAGGTGAAGATGCTGGATGTGGAGGTCCTGGGCCGGTTGGATATACTGCCAAATTCTCTGAAACACCTTTGGAGATGGCTTATGGTAGAGAAATGAACATTCAATTCAAGGGTAACAGCTCTGGTGGACATTCCTGCAGTCAGCATGCCAATTGCACGCTCCCTCAAAACTTGCGACATCTGTGGCATTGTGCTGTGTGATGGAACTGCACATCCTTTTATTGTGGCCAGCCTAAGGCACACCTGTGCAATACCCATGCTGTCTGGTCAGCATCTTGATATGCCACATCTGTGAGGTGGATGGATTATCTCAGCAAAGGAGAAGTACTCACACAGATTTTGAGAGAAATAGGCCTTTTGTGTACATCAAGAAAGTCTTAGATCTTTGAGTTCAGCTCATGATGAATGGGGGCAAAAACAAAAGTGTTGCATTTATAATTTTGTTCAGTGTAATATAACTACTAACTTCCAAAATATTTCTGTTAAGAAGTAAGTTTACACGTGAGTTTAGTTTAGTTGAGTATGCTAACTAGATCTCTGTTGGTGTTTAGTTTAGCTTTGGACTGGTGTTAAAGAGTGGTGCTTCAGCTGTGTAAATTATTTGATTATTTTTTAAGAATAAGACAAAGCACTAAAGGTCATTGTGGGCACATCCTATCCTGACTTCAAGAAGGGTACATGTTTATGCATAACTATATAACTGTTAAGGAAACACTTAATAATTCAGGAAACTCACAGACAGCAAGAATCAGTCTCTCGTCCATTGATGCACTGTGCGTTCCATAGTAAAAAAAGTTCCTAGACAACTCTGGCAGTGGGCGGGCGTGTGCATGAGACGTAGTTGTGTCTTAGGTCTGTTGATTCTGTATCATAACAGAGTTTGTGTCAGGAGAGAAACACCCATATCACATTCATTATTTTTAATAGCAGACATTCAGTGTCGTCTCCAGCAATAAAAGGCCAAATATCTTGATAAAGCAGCACTGGTACTTCATAATAATTTGGCGATTTTACAACCATAAATGTATTGTTAACACAGTCAACAAAATCATTTATAAACATTTTTAAATACTACGATCAGTTTGGATGAGGAAGTATTATAAATATAGTATTTTTATGACATGATACAGGATGCCAGGGTTTTGTGTCTTTATAGATGTCACATAAATTTGAGACCACACCATGCTAAAATATCATTTTATAATTACATAATTAGGACATGAATTTGATGAATCTATCTATTATTTTCATGAAAAACTGTTTGGTCTATGAAATGTAACAATTTCTTACATACGCAGTTAAATGCAGATCAGCGTGTGCTTCAATGCAAGTCCATTAAAAGTAAAACATGTTACACGACTATTCTCCAGTACACCATGCTTTATTTATCAGTGGGGGTGAAGGCAAGAGAGCCAAAAACCTTTGTTGAATAACGATGGTCTAATGGTTAATGAAATGTCCCAGAGCCCACCTTCAAAGCTCTTGGTTTTGTCTGACCAATACACAGAATACTAAGAAAACCATAAAATGTTCACTTTTGATAGGCTAAAACCAGTGACTGGTCAACATCAACTTATTGTTTCAGCTCTAAAAAATATGTTAATATCTTCCACAAATGTATCATCTTTCTCTATTCTGACACCTTTTGAAATACTTTTGTAACTGATTAAAAATTACAGTCTAAATTATTTAGACCGGCATTGAACTTTTCCTGTAAGTGAAGACTTCAACTGACACCTTCTCCTATGAGGCCCTGAGGGAAGAACTTCCTCACATAGTTGTCTGTTTTGATGGTGAACTATAAAGTGAGTCTCTGCTTTCATCACTTTCTGTCTCTGGCACAGCCACAGACACAGGACACCAAAGTTTTATCATAAAATCTACACAATCTTCCACAATCTTCATTTTTTTCATCCACCTATTATTCCTTTCTTTATTTCCTTTCTGCGCATCTCTTCTCTCTTCTCCTCTCCCTCTCCTCCATGTTGCTGGCATCCCCCCGGGCCTGTTCTATAAGGCGTGGAAGAGGAGCAGAGACAGAGCATTTAGTAATGGCTTCTTAATGGGCTTGTCGACAGCCACATTAGAGCGCACAGGCAGCGGGTGAGGCCGGGCAACGATATGCCAAGCCAGATGCCATGCCAGCTGTGGCACTCCGCTCTCTCACTCACACTCTCATTTGTAATCACATTTCTCATACGGATGGACGCCATGTGCGTAAAAGAGAGAAAGCAGACAGACAGGCATTTCCCCTCTCATCTCCTGTCAGTATATTCTTCTTGTCGGCTCTATCCTTATTTCTCTGTCCTGTTTATTTTTATATGGGTCTGCTGCACTCAGCTCTTTAAATGTACGGCCTTAGGCAGCAACAGAAGTGTTTTAATGTTTTTTGCAGGGATGTAGCGGTATGAAAATGCAAACATAAACTGTCATTATTGAATGCAACTTCAAGGAAAAGGAGTGTTTATCATTCTAGTAACTTTGGACTGACCACTTTATTTGTTAAGATCTAAAAAGTGCAATAGGATTAATATGAAATACAATAGAGAGAGAAACACAGGCAGTTTGAGGATCATAAAGGTTTTAAACACACCCCCTGGCTACACTTGTTTCGAAGGGAGAACACAAGCAAATGGAGCCTTGCGGTAGTTCAGGCAGACACAGAAGTCATTTTATGTTCCATATGTTCAAACATGTTCCATAAACACTCCAATCACATATGTCTAAGACTTGTGTCTCACATCTTCGCTGCTACACTGCTTTCAGACAGGCCAACTTTCTGGTTCAACTTTAACCTACCTTTTTACAGAATTGCAACTAACACATGTACTGAGGGGACATTTTACATTTAAAATAAACTTGCTCCCTAGCAGACAAACTATGTAATTGCAACACCGTTTCTTACACCTGAAACATATTCTTTGGCATTTCTGTACTGCTGTTTCTTGTTAGTTACTAGTAAATATATATGTACACTATATGGAGAAAAGTACTGGGACACCTACACTTTACTTTTATGACATCCCTTTCTAAACACACTTAACATTTTTCAGCTCCTACACTGAATCTAGGAAGATGCTTTGATCTCGCACCACAGAATTACAAAGAACAACTAAATGAATAAGAGAAGACGGCAGGAAAGAATGAAGGAAGTGTTTGATAAAATGGGGGGGAAAGGATGGCAGGGAGAGGGAGGAGTGATTAAATGAATAGATGGATGATTGAATCAATTAATGCATGTTAATGTGCTACAGTGTAACCAGGGACTGGAATGTCATTGCCAAAGGTCTTATAGGTCTCCAGTAGGGGGAGCCATGTGTCAGTGACTCCAGTCTGTGTCAAAGACCTTTATCAGTACAATTGAGTGTGTGAATGCACTGTGTGTGTGTGTGTGTGTGTGTGTGTGTGTGTGTGTGTGCTGCCAAAGACTGAATAGTCAGAAGGTGGTTCTTTGTTTCCTCATCTGATCTGATCTCATTGCTACCAAACCAAATTTTCCTGCGTCAGCGATGATGAAGTGTGATGAGGATGCAAAGAGAATAAGGTCTGTGGGTGTGTGTATGTGTGTGTTTTTGTGCTTCTGTGCATATCAAGTTGTGCATGTGCTTGTGTGTGTGGGGGTGTGTTTATGTATTGGCTGCTGATAGCATTTTCAGAGTTGAAGCCTATATACAGACTGGAGGCCCTCTACACTGTATCGACAGCTGCCAATTGTCACTCTAGTGACTGACAGTTCTGTATTGATGGACGGGACCTGC